CCTTTTAAAAATAGGCTTTTTAATTAGAACAAAAAGAGCTAAAATTTAGGATATAATTTAATCCTATTTTTAAGTAGGTAAATACATATTTATTTGATTTTTCATGAGTTTTAACTTAAAAACAATTGTTTGTTTCAATTATTATCTAAATAATAATTATTTGACTTAATAATTGAAATGTGTTGAAGTTCATTTTTATATGTTATTAAGTTCGTTCTACTACAAAATTAATGAGCTACGAGTTAAAAAGTTGCTAATGAGAAAAAAATAATGTGAAAGTTACAAAGATTCTGATTTGTGTAACTTTGTACTTTTAATGTTACTGTTCAGTTTTGCTTTGTTTAATTTCTCGGATACAAATAGTACACTTTCAAACATTAAAATTATTATGGTTAATGTTTAGCTCAGTATAAAAACTAGATAATAATATGTATGATGACAATTTTTCGTTTGTAATCGCAAAACGAAAAACACAATAATTATAGTCATTAAGTATAGTTTAAAAAAATATTTTTGTTTAAGATGCCCGGTTTTTTTTTTATAGGTTCTTATAATTGATCAAAGATCTAAACTATACTGAATATGATGCAAAAATAACCTTGGCCGCTTGATTTTAATACATGTATATGTTTATAAAACATATACTTGTATATGAGTGCGTCATTGCTGCTGTTTATCAGTTCCTCTAAAAAAAAATGACTACCGTTAGATATTTAAGTGCCGGAAATTACTATGGAGAGACAACAAATTAACTTTTAAAGTGCATAATAAAATAGGTGACTGTACTGTAATATTATGTACATTGCAGTTCATCGTCGTCGAATGCACATCACTTGACTATATTGAAAAGTGAAAACGTTTTTTGAACTATTCTTCGTTTTGTGTCACAGTTTTAAAGCGGGATAAGTACGTTCACCGCCGCCAAAGTGGCGGTTTTGTGTAAAAACGTCTTCGGTCGTCGTAAAACGATTAAAATGTCAGTTGCAGTACATATTATTATGATAATTTAAGCAAGTTGATCGGAAAAGAGAAACTTGCTCCCCGCTTCCCCGACCATTTTTAAACGACAACCGACAGATTATAATATCCTCCTTTTCGAAGAAATTCAACATAAAAACTATCTCTGTTCGGTCGCCGTTAAAAAACATAATAATATTACACTTTACCATAAACAAACGTTTGACAATGGAAACGACACACCAGGCACACGGTTTGGCTTGTTTTTTATTTTTACCCAGTAACAATAGAATTAACCGAGTATCGTTCCAGAGATAACCTTTGACCTGAATTATTATTTTGTAGAGTCGAGGGCAATGTGGGGTGGTGCTTGAGTGTATACAAAAGGTTTACCTGAAATATATTATACTATTGTGTATAGTATAGTAGGCACGGTGTACGGCCAGTCCGAACAAATGCATACCTACTTATAATGTAAACCGACGATAAACCGTACACTTACAGAGATTAAAATGCAATTTGTGTCGACCAGACTTACTGTATAGATACCGACCACAAATCTACAAGTGAAAAACGCGTTTGTATTTTCAAGGTGTCTCCAACGGTGGCTATTTATTATACAGATATATTATTATTAAAACTAGTTAATCGTTTGTGACTGCAACTATAAAATTACCAACTTCCATTTTATAATTTATCATTACTACCATTTAAAACAGTACACCTATTATTATTGTTTACTATAGTTTTTGTGTATTGTGATTTGTGTGACGTTATCACATTCACAGCGATACGACCACCACCATATTTTGTACACTATTGCAAATGGTTGTGCATTTTACAACATCATATTAGGGTCATTCCATTTGCAACGATCAGTATAATAATTTTAATTTATACGACGAATTTTGCTTTGACTGGATATGAAATTATAGTTTTTACACTGACATCATTTAGGACATATTCGATAGTATAAATAGGTTCCAAAAATGTTGGAGACGAGGGGATAAGGGTCATTTGTAAATTTAAAACTAACAAATAAAAATACAATTACAATTTCCTTCTATCATTACATTACACCTTAGACGTAATGACTTCAGGTTTATATTTTAGAAACCTTATTATTCTCAAATCGATTAGTTCCACATTTTTAATTGAAAACGCGAAGACGGTTAAACAATTGGGTTTTTTTTTTATTTGCGATTCAAGTAGATAATATATATTTTCTCAAATGTTTAGCGATACACTTAATGTACTTTAAATAACGTATATGGGTGTTTGTTTTCTGAATGTTTAGAACTGGGGACAGACAAAAAGCGATTAGAAAAAAACTGAATGCGTCTTTTTGCGTTTTAAATTAAAGATAATAACTTCGGGTTTGCATAGAAATAAATATTTTATATAAAATATAAGATAAAAATAATTATTTTATCTCATAGAGTTTTAGATTTCAAAGTGAAAATCCGCTGAACAAAACTTCTTTATAATGAAAAAAAAAAACAGTTGGTGCAATAATCGAAATACAAGTGTATATTGTTGTGTTGCTTTCACATCATAATATAATGTTTATAATATTAACAAAAGCAGTGTTGTTTTTTTCAAATGATACCAAATCGTATTGGGCACCTGTACTTTATAACAACGACGATTTCAAACTACCCGACACGCTTGTGCACGTTAACATATTATACACACAAAGCGTTATAGTAACAACAAACATAGACCAGATGTTTTTTAACATTTTTTTATTTTAATTTCTTGCTTCTCGCTTTTTAGAGTCCCAACATAGTAGAGTCACATAAAACGACGTGTCTTTTAAAAAGATAACACTATCTTTTACATAAAAAAAACATACTAACGGGCGGAGTCAATAATTACTACCGAGTTAATAGGCCTACTATACGGTGAAGTTTTTTCGGATTTTTTCCTTGTTCGTTACACAGCTGTGAAAAATAATTATTGAAATAATTAAATGCATATTGGTATACCGACAACGACAACGATAACGTTCCAAAAGCAACGGGTTTAGCTGCGTGGAAAATACATTCCGACGGATCTTATCTAAAGCAGTCCGGAATGTTATTCTCGCTTATCACGTTATTATTGAACTATTAAACGTCGGCGAAAGAAATAATAATAATAAAAAAAAAAAATACAGAACGTTTCTAAAGTCATCGAACTAAACGTATAATTACATTTTATAATCAGTTAGAGATGTAGTTACAGATGCCCATTCACTGTCCAATCAGTGTTGGCCAAAAATAAAAAACAAACCACGTTCTCCGGTTCTACGAATATAAATGAAAAAATTCGATATAAGTACACCAGTTGAGCTCGTTGAAAACCCAAAACTATGTACTTAATTCGTATTTTGTCTGAGTCAATATATTTTAACTAATACAAAACTTCATTCCCAGCGAAGTATTTAAATAAAAAGCGTAAAATAATGGCCGAGTTTTAATCCGCCACTACAGTAATACAGTACAAGTACTAAATGTAATTACAGTTTTGTAGATGTATATTCGAATAAAAAGTTTGATTAATGTGTACTTTTGGTATCGCTGTTTGAAGTAAAACTATGGGACAACTTTTAATTTCAAAGGGGGGAGAGTGCTATTGTTTTCGGAGTCACTGGTATCTGTGAAGCCATTAAGGCACTTGGGATTATCTTGGAGCATTAACTTTATTCAGAGAGCTGTAGGATGTTAACAACAATGCCCGCATGACTGTTTTGGAATTATTAGCAGTAGTCGTCCGCCCACGCTGTTATTAAAAAACATAATTTAGGTTATTATATTTGTCTATTGTCGTACCTACTGTTGCAGAGGTTATGTAAAAAAAACAGAAAGCTGACGGTATGGCCAAAGAACGTTGTATAATTAAAATTCATACTTGATATTTCCTTTTTTTTGTGTGAATCACCCTACTATTGAACATCAGCAATTTCGAAAATATCTATATTTTATTTACTTTAACCTAACTGCTAACAGGGTACCAATTGTTGGGTGACAAATCATTTGCTAATAGTTTTGTTTTTATTTATTTTTAACGACAGAATGACAACAACATTTGTGTAGGTATAAGACACTATATTTGTCGTCACAAAATCAACATTTTGTGACGACGTTATCATCATCTGATGACGTTATCATCAGTTAGACTTTAGATCATGTTTGGAAGAATACCACTTGGTAAACAAAGTTAGGTAAAAGGGAGTTTTATATGTTTTTTAAATAAACGGGGAAAAGTAATTATGGTATAGTGTCGCATATTAAATTAATATTAATAGTCAAAATATTTGTGATAAGAGATGAACAAGTATCATTGTATCAACCTGATACTAGACGTATCAATAATTCTCAATTAAACGGTATCGAGAAGTAAATGTATAAGGTGCGTTATGTTTTATGGATGTGCCAAGATTTCGTACCTTGTTTTATGCCATGAGATATTTGTACAAGGAAAAAAATTTTGTATTTCAAACTCGATATATTGTGTGGACATATACTTTTAACTTCGACGCGAAGGTGAAAAAGATATTGGTTTTGTCTGTGGAAATTGTTGTTTTCCATTTTGACACGTGGAATGACCCTATATATATATATGTAAGCAGAGGATAATCCACGTTAATCTCTTGCTGTATACTATCCTATTAGGTCTAAAGAAAGCCGGCTGGTTTCGATTTCTTTTTACACTTTTTTTTTAGGTTTTCCTCGTGTCTACCGATAGGTCATGGGTGCTGACTGCTGACTTGGACGACGGCAGAATGCGGTCAAACGGGTTTTGCAGTAGTGGTGGTGTTGCCCTCCACCCTTCCCTTGCCCTCGTTAACACGACTTGGGCGACACCACCCGGTCGAGTAGGTAAACACATGCTACCATTAATACCAGAATATACCAGAACCGCTGTTCAGGTTAGATCCCTTTGGGGTCGTCTCGTACTTTCCCTGCGTTTGCCGCCTTTTTTTTTACACACACACAATAAAACCGACAGTTATACTATTATCTTGTTCTTATCACACGGCGTTATCTCGGACGACTTACCTGTCAGCGGGATGAACACGATTCCCGGACCACGGCGGTCACATGATGTTTTCCAGGCCTGGTCGTCGGCAAAACGAAAACTCGGTTGAACACAAAATAATAAACGTCTTCGTTGTTATTATATTTTATTAATAATACACACACACGCACACAGCCGTATTGTTGTTATTGTTACGAGCGGCGCACTAATAACACTAAACACGGATGCGGACGAGCTGCACACAACGATGGAACACGCGCGACGTCTGACACGGATGACGGTCACCGCGCGCACTACTGACTACTGGTAATATATCCAAACTGAGTCTGAACTCGCCGATGAACGGTGCCGGCCACGGCGGCGGACCGATGGGGCGTCCGTGCTTGTTGTTGACGTTCGGCGGATTCCGGTTCCCAACGGTGGACGCGCCATCTACCGGACAACCGCCGAGTTCCCGGTTATCCGGTTGACTCGAGCTGCCCTCCTACGGCAGCTGTTTGTTAACCGGGAACAGGACGTCTATGGGAGGGAGTAAAATGGCGAACAGCCGCTGTGGTCTCAAAACCTAACCTAACCTAACCGTAACGGTGTTTGGTTAGGTTAGCTATCGACGCAGGATATTATATTATATCATAATAAACTATGTAGATTTCTATCAAATAAGAATGGAAGTCGACGTACACCGTTTTTATGGGATTCAATTGTGTATATAAAATAATAAATAAATTATAAATGTATACATCTGTGATTTTGCGTTATCAACTTAACTTATAGTCATTTATTGTTATAAGCATATTTTCATATGATAAGATTCTAATTCCTACAAAGACGGCGAAAAATGGTAACTTCAAATATCTCTATTGGCTTCGTGTACACTTAGTAATCTAGTTTATTATTTAAATATGATATATCTGTGACTATGAAGACAAAAACCTGATTCGATTACGCCGAGCTCTATCAGTATACGTGAACTGAAGGCATTTTGTTCATTATTAATCTATAGTTTAAGTTCTCCGAAGAGTTTTCCAAGAATGTTCAGCGTGTTTCGTACTAACTCGCGTTTTTTTTTTAAATTACGGTCTACTTATAATGCGTACTCACATGATTTTGTATAATATATAATGCATAAATCCTAATAAGAACCTATAAATCCATATTTTTGTCTAAACACCAAACATTAATTGCTGGGCTAATGTTAATAAAATATTATTAGGTAATTTAATTATGTTCTTACTCCATCGAGTATACTTAAGTAAACTGGTACGATAAAATACAAAAAATAATATCAAATTCCACCATATCGTTTAGACATGAAATATGTTAATATAGTTTGGCCTTTTATAATAAAACTATATTCAATTATTGTTAAGCTATTAAGTTTTATTTAATTATAAATGAATTTTCTAAATTATTTATTTTTTATTCTAAAATATCAGGTTTTTTTTTTAATTTATTTATATGGGACCCGGTGGGATGTCATATGAACTACTATGAGGTGTGCGGTTTCATGGGCTCCTGGTCTCGCCGGATCTTATATGGGACGTAAGCGCCATGTTTTGACTGTGCACCGTGTAAATGCTATGAATCACAAATAGGTAGCATGAGACCCTGGTATGCTTCATGCAATCAAACAACACTAAAAGCAACACAATAGTTCCATCATATCAGCTGTGTTTCGTTTATAAAATAAAAAAATTACTTTTTCTTTTAAATAATACGAATGTTATCTTTTATCATATTATTATCGTTTTCTTCCAAACAGAATCGAAAAAAAAATGTATTTATCAAATTTTTTCTACCCGCTCAGCGCTCTAGACAATATACGGATTGACTATATTTTTCTGTTTTAACGACATATTCTGGTGAATTCATAAGTTATCAATAATTGAAGGTTTGAGTAACATTTCTTGTAAAATATTTTTTATAGAATGAATAAAACTTATATATATAAAAGTATTAGATACATTACAAAATATTATAACAGTTGAATGCGTGTTGTGCTTAAAATGTTTAATTTTTTTGAATATATATATTGATTAAAATGTTGCCTCCTGAACAGTTTTGAAATTATCAGTTAATACCTTTATCCACTCACCCTTTCAATTATGTAGTTATATAAGTTGCGGCTAATAAAATAAAAAATAAACAATGCAAAACGTCATACTATGTATTTTATATCTCACAATTGTTAGAATGCAAGTATCTTGACGAACAAGAAACGTAATAAAAAAGAGTATTTGAAGTACGTATTTATATACCTACTTGTGTTTTAAATACTGTCCATCCTTGTCAGTTGTCTATAAAAATATTAATAGTAATATTTCATTGAAGCTGAAAACTTTTTTAATATTGTCAACATATTTAATTCTACATCATGTTTTGGCAAGAAATCAAATCTTCTTATTGCAATGGTTAATTACAACAATTATTTTAGTTGTAATTACGGTCTGAGACGAGAAATTCACTAAAATTATACTAGATTACATTTAAAAAAAAATTTTTTTTTTATTTGAGATTCTGATTATGTGCAATATATCTTGAGAATTACATATGACTAAACAATAGATAAATGGCTAATACAAATAAATAAAAATAAAACAAAACTTGACAAGATTACAACATTATTAAATTATATCAGTTATTCCATTGTTTTGTATCCCACAATAATAATAATAATTATTATCAGTAATTTTTAAATTCTAGAAAGACAAAAAGGTAACATAGTATTCTTACATACTATTATAGCAGGTCCATTTTTGTGATTTGAGTTTTTACTCTGAGAAAGTTTTTACAGGGGATTACATAAAACCATAATAACCTATTTAATTTCACTGGGAATTTAGGAATAGCCGAGGCAACATAACGCTCCAACTTCAATGTTTAGTTATAATTTTATTTAAAACGTTTCAAACCATAAAAATATGAATGAATAATAGAAATTAGAAATGTTTTTTCTATTTTAGAATCCGCCCATAATCTTCAGACATCCTAATGATAATATTGTCTAAAAAATTACGTTGCACTATTGAATGATTTATGGAAATTAATATAGTAGCCCTTTTTTTACTGTAGAAATAATTTCATTCCATTTTCAATACAATATATCCTTACTCAATTATATCGCTTATCCTACATTATACAGTACCTAACTGTAAGTAGTTATGTTTGATTATTGTTAGTTAGTGACGTTGTAATTATTGTGATTATACTTGAACATACAATAAAAATAGGTATGGTCGAATGATATGGTTGTAACAAATGGCAACCGAAAGTGACGGATTCCAATTTCCAATGTTGTTATGCGGGTTTAAGGTCAAAGCGTCAGTCTGGTCAGATGAAAGTTAATTTCGTAAAAAATAGCGGCGGCTTGACGTGTACAAGCAAACTATAGACGTTATATTTTTTATGTGCTATTAAAAACTGCCAACTTTTTTATTGAGTTGCTATAATAAACCGACCAATAGTATTAGATAAAATAATAATATTGTTTTATCGCATACGACGTATTATTATTTGACTTAATTGAAATAAACAAAATTAATTTGATAAATGGGGATTTAAAAAAAACAGCAACAAGGCCAATTTATATTATAAATATGTTGTTCACTTTTTTGTTTATGTCGGTAATTTTTTTTTCTCAATTTTATTACTTGTGTTATTTACGTCGTAAAAGAAATACACATAATATAAATACGCATCTAAACGATGTATAATTATTCTGATGTTTGTTTAAATAAAAACTCAAATAATAAATATAGTTTTATTTGAATAAAGATTGAAATAATCATTTTTATTTAAACTGATTTAAATAACCAATAAATTGATCTAAATACATTTTAAATTACTCATTAAAATAACTCTGTTCATAAATAATAAAAAAAAATAACCTAAATATTTATTTATAACTATTAGAAAAAATATAACTAAGTAGTAGGTACATAATTGTTTACACTTATTACAAGCTGCATTATGTAAGTAGGTATTAAAAAAAATAAAAGTTTTAATATACAATCATTTGTAAGTCATAATATGAGTATGCTAAATATTAAATTTTTTTAAACAGTGAACAATTATAAAAAAAAACTGTTTGGCCATCAAAACAAAAATGTACCAATAAATTCATAACTTATTATTTATTATATAATTCAAAACTTTTTAGGGTTTTCGCTAATATTAATATTAGTAAGCTTAGAAATATTATCAATTTAAACACATAATATCATAAAATCTAAACGTACATTGGAGACTGTCCACGTTTCTCAATAATTCCACTATTTATGTAAAAGCCAAAAAGTATTTGTTATTAACTTTCTAAACAGTATTTTTTACTTAATCATCATCATAAATTATAATAGGTGTATTTAAGTAGTACACTTGTTGTTTTTATCCAATAAATTCCTATTTAAAGACTAAAGTGAAATTTATCCAACAAAACAATTGTATTATTTCAATAACTTTACATAGTTCAGTTAAACTGCTGATCAGGTAAAAAAACCATATATTTTTTGTAAAATTAGTTTTAAACGAAGTAAGTGTGATCTTTTTTTGTTATTTTATTGTGATTAACACTTGACATTATTTTTGGTGGCCTCGTTGTAAAATTAAATACACTTTATAAACAATATCCAATAGCTTATAGAAAACAATATTATTTTCTCTGTGTATATAGCTAATGTTATTATAATAGTACACAAAAGACGCTGTGGCCACTAGAGGAGTGTTTTTTTATTATTAGTTATATTGTTATTATTAATAATTATATGAAAACCAAAAGTTTGTTTTCGTACCATCGAAAATAAATTGTTTTTTAAAGCATAATACTAAGACATACAAAATGCTCATAAAAAATACTAGTTAAAAAATTATAATTTCCTCCCTAAAAATGGAATATGTATCGGTGTCATTTTTTATGGCTTAAACTGCTTTTTAATGTTAATTTCTCTAGAGTAAAATACTATTATTTATAATTATAGTTTCATTATTGAAAGCAGTTTCGTAGATCAAACGGATATAAAAGTAATTACTCGTTAATTAATATTTAGTAGTTTATTCGATTGAATGGACAAAAAACAAGAATTTAACATCGAAATCCAATAAACAAATGATGTTTGGGTAAAACGACACTGAAGTTCTGGTAATACATATATATATAAAAATATAATTTTGAGTATAAAAATTTTATAACGATTTACAGAAATTTAATCAATTAAATTACTTCTTATAAACGACTTCGAGTTACCAACCCAAGCGACATAGAAATGTTTTTAACGATTTAAAAATATATTAGAAATAGATTTTACAGTTAAAATGATTGCTAATTAAACAACGACT